TCCACTAGTCAATCAGAAATCAACAAAGAGAAAGGAACGTGAGAAAAAGGTAATTTCAACATCCCATTTAGTGTAGGAGCCAGAATTTTCATTTTCTCCTGTAGGTTCAACATCTAAAGAAGTAGACATATGAACTAGCTGAAAGAGTTCGACATCTATAAGAATAGTGTTAAACATGTATAAATAGTGTAATTTTCCGACGAGGGATGCTAATTTCAGTTTGATGAACAATTTCTGTGAAATTCAGGTAAAAGAAACTTCTAAAAAGGGGAAAAAATCAGCTAACGATACCTCAGAAGACGGCGGTGAGAAGCTACCATACGTTCACGTCCGAGCGCGTCGAGGCCAAGCCACTGATAGCCATAGTTTAGCAGAAAGAGTAAGATTAAGAGCTTCTAATGTTTTGCTAAACATGGTAATTAAGCTTTTAATTATCTTGATTATATATATATATATATGTAGGCAAGGAGAGAGAAGATTAATGCTAGGATGAAGCTACTACAAGAACTGGTCCCAGGATGTAATAAGGTAAGCTGTCACTTTTATCAGTATTAATTAATCATTAATAATTGTTTAATATGTTGTACTGATTGTTAATTAGTACTTAGTGGGGGAAATATCTGTAATGTGATTGCTTTCATTGCATTATTGATTAGCCTTTTTGGTGCAAAATCAGTCATTTTCACCTTTTTCTTAATGAAAAAAGTGGTGGGTTTGGCACCAAGAAAAGTGGCGAACAATTTTACTGTTGTTTCAGCTTTATTGCCTTTCATTTGATGGGTAATAACTTTTGACGTGACACAAAGTTTAAGAAAGTAAAGAATACTTTTGAATTTTGTCGTGTTAAAATATGTTACGTGTAAAATTAAAAGTAAAGAGTTGTCGAGAAGAAAAAGGACAATCTTTTTCAACTATATTGAAAAGAAAATTAAGACAAACAAATTGAAATGGAGGGAACACTTTTTAATGGTCAATCTTGTCATTTCAATTTTTACAAAGGTGTTGGAACTCCTTTTTATAAAGAAAAAATGTTACTTTAAAAGTTTTTCTTTTCTTAGAATAATTTTGGGGGAGGGATGTTTTATTAGAACAGAGTTGCATCCTTCGGGTGTGACGTAGTGATCTATAAAATTTGTCAAGAACCATGAAGTTTCAAGTTCAAACCTTGGGGCAGGCTAATACACTAGGTAATTTCATATCTATTCAAGTCTTGATGGATAGAGTAGAAAGAGCTCCATTATGGAAGTTTTTTTAGAGGATAAGGTACACATACACTAGACCATAGAAAAAAAGAAAAATGATCAATAAATAAAGAACCATAGCAAAAAGAAAATGCAGATATATGTTGAGAAAATCAACTCTGTGCCTGCCTCAAAGGTTCAAACCTAAACGGTTGCCCGACTTAGGATTATTGGACTATATATAAAGAGATCAATCCATAATCCATACATTTAAGACAAGATTACCTATTGGGATTACTTCAAATTTATACCATACACAGTTCATAGTAGAAAATCTTCTCCTTTTTTTTTTAGTCGGGATGCGGGTGGGGGTTCTCTGATGTTATCCTTTCATTTGGTCATACATGATTTGAATAAGTCATCTTAAGTTTTAAGACTTCGATACTGAAACTTAAACCCCCTTGTAAACACACACAGAGACAAAAATAAAAGGATACACAAATATTGTCGAAATATAAATCCATTAGAATAGTTCTGCCTGTAATGTTACTTATTTTAAGTGCTTTAAAAAAATTATTGACTCAGTGACTTTTATCATCTTGAACTGTCAATATAAATGTATTCAAGACTTTAAAGGATGTCTGTTTCTGTTCTATTTTAACTTGTTCTGCGGTGGCTTAACATACACCGACTATTATGTGGCTAACAGAAATATATGGTGATTAATTTGTGACTAATTTGCAGACCTCTGAAGATCTTTTAATTAGTCAATTCTCAACATTGAACTAACCCAAAATAATATTAGCACATTCTAATGCTTGGACTATATTTGCAGATCTCAGGTACTGCAATGGTGTTGGATGAAATCATCAACCATGTACAGTCCCTACAGCGTCAAGTGGAGGTCAGATCTCGGATATCCTTCTATCTGATTTATTAGTGCTGAAATCTGCAGAAGACTATTGATTATGATATTTTAGGTGTAAATGCAACTATGATGCATCCATATCTCACTACAATAATATATTTTATCCCTCTAAATAGTCATTTCTTCCGAAACTTAGAGCCCCCTATGCAGGTTAAGCACCTTAACCTGACACTCCTCAATTCTTGCAATAGTTTGATTAAGTTAATATACAAGAGAGAAGAAAACTTTTATTATCGGCTACCGGAGGTAGGGGGCATGGAGAATGTACAGCAGTTCTTTGATTTCTCATCATCTCTCTTGTTAGCATACAGTCATAAGGAAAAGGAGAACCGATGAACTCATACCTGAGGAGCAACTCTGCCTTATTGAGGAAACACAATCTTATTCTGAATCTTGTCAGGGTGAACTTAAACATATATAGGAAGTCAATAAAAATTTCAGCGATATTGCTTAATATTAAAAAATGATATAGGGGTTTGGGAACCTACATGTAGTGCTCTAGCATGTTCAGTCCTTATACAGACGAATACATTTGCACCACCTGCATCTTTTGACATAATTTTGAGAATGTAGGCAAAGATACAGACCAGTGGGAATCCCACATATGAACCTTCATGACCTTCGAGAAAGTAACTTTTTCCTCTCTCATTGCTTGGTAATATAGATGCTTTATTTGGTTTCCTTGATCGTATTTCTGATGGAGAGTTGTTTGGTTGTAGTTCTTATCAATGAGACTTGCTGCGGTTAACCCGAGAGTTGATTTCAACCTTGACAGTCTCTTTGCAGCAGAAGTAAGTTCCGTTGCTAGTCAACTTTATTACTATTGTGAGCTTACTCAAATGGTGCTGTGTTTTATGACTGCACTTCATCCTATTTACTCAATTTGTCAAATAAAGCACATATGATAATTTTGTTAGTTTTGTGCTCTATGATGACAGCCCATCTATTTATCTTCAACGTCAGCTTATAAGACCACCTAAAAGATGATATTTAACAATAAAACTGTTCTATAGTTACTCACTGTAAATTTTCTTGATCCCCACGTAAAATTTTGAAAAATGTGCTTCTTGACTAACCAAAATGCCAGAGCAAGGTCAAATGTGGACCACCATTATTGTCTGCCTTACCATGCAGATTTACACTTTCAACTGTCCTTTCTAATATGTGGTCACCTGAAAGGTTGCCTTGTGACCATACCACAATGTTGTTACCCTCTGGAGTTACCTCTCTGAGTGGGTCCTCTATTTAATACACCTCAGGATAGGAGAATTGGCCCTATTATACTTTACTCTCAACATTTCTGCAAGTTTCAACTTCTCACGTCATGACATCTAGAACGCTGGAAATGACAAATTTTGTACATTATCATGTTTCACTGCAATTAAATTCCAAATAATGCCAGCTTGTATGTTGTATTGTGATAAGTTCAGAGATCTCAAGGTGACACCTTTCAGGCTTTGTTTCTAGTTATTACATGACTAGCTTTAGAGTGAGTGATTAATTGCTTATAATGTCTAAAACATGTATGAGATAATCTTCATGATATTCAAAACTTCTGCATTCCCTAAGAGTTTCAATTTTCTTTTTGAAAATTAGCGAAGTGGTTCCCATGTGGAGAGTAACTTACAAGACATGGTTGTGCCACCTATTTGGGCCGAGGGACAAACCAGCGGAAACAGAAACCAATATCAACATCTATGGCATTTTGAAGGGTTCCATCAGCCTGCCTGGGGAAGGTTAGAAGACAATTCTAGCTTTGTTACTCCAGAGAACTCGCTGTTGACATATGATTCCTCAGCAAATTCAGGTAAATCCATACTTGATGGCCTCTGTGTTGCTAATCTCTCTAACTTAAAACTGGAACTGAAAGAATTTTGTGAAGAAAACCGATATGGAATGCAGCATGAGTTAAATGACTTCATAGCTAATCATCATATTTCGGATTTTTGCAGCATCCTTACACCCAAATCAGCTGAAAATGGAGCTATGAAAGAAGAAGCAAGTCTTTACTAGTGATTAGCTGTATATATATCGGACATATTAGTTGATAGCAGCCGGTGCCAGAGAAGAGAGTTATCAAGAATTCAGATTTTGGGTTTCACCTTCTTCAAATCAAACAGCAAGGAGAAACTCCAGTTTGATCTCTGCTAGGGAGGAAGAAAATTACGCGTATCCCTTGTTTCTATTTATATAACATATATATATATGTATGCAGAAAGATTTGTCTATACGAACATATAGTCACTCAATCTGATACTTGGTACGCGAGATGATTGATTGATTCGTAGTTGTAAAACAAGAACAAACTAGTGGTGACTATTACATTGTTATGCAGGCAAGGTTTCGTGCTATTTGCCCCTTCTGCTGAAATTCCTTGTGCTGTAATTATGAGAACTTGAAAAGCAATAAAAAGAAGGATATTGGAAAATTGATAAGGCTTCACTTTCATGGAGTGACGGACTCAAATAGAGAATCTGCTCTTTTATCCTTCTCTGCTTAAATATCCAGTTTTTGTTTATCGCAAGATTTGAACTTGTGATGAGTTGTGGTATAACTCGCATAGTGAAGCCTAGGGACACCCAATATCCCGTGTCAGATCCTCTAAAAACGCACCCCTACATCATTTTTTGAAAAATCCGAGCAATATCCTTGGCAGTAACTAATGCCACCAAATCATAGCATCTCCAACAAAATAGGAAGCACATCCAGAATTGAGAAAGTGACAACATCAAACAAATGACTTTTGAGTAGAATGAATTGATAATATAACATATAGCACAAGCAAGTTGACAAAGGATGAATAAGTATGAAACCACTGAACAAGACGCTTTGTTTTTCCTTTTTTTTAACCTTATCAATGGATAGTCGTTCTGCACTGTATGAAAAAACGAAAAGGAGAGATTGAGAAAGAACAAGGACGACGAGTCCAAAGATGATATCCACCAAGCCAGCATAAATAACAACTTACAAACTGGAGATAGAATGAACGTGCCCCAGTTTCATCACTTATACCATCGAAATCTAAGGGACACCTTATACGACAAAAGGCCAACTTATAGGAAGACCCAACAGATTTAAAGCAAGAACATCATACTTCAGTTCATATAAAACATTCAATAGATGCTTCCTAGATCTTGTTTAGCTTTTCTGCTACAACAACAGGATTTGCTTTAGCAATAGCATCCCGACCAGCATTCTTATAGTCAAATGGGCACTCGTGCTTGTCAGAATAACGGTGAGCTGCACAGAAAAGATTTCCACACTTGCAATTGAATCCTGTCAAGCCAACACGCTTGCGGCAAGTAGTGCACCTAGTTGGGCCCTCTTTTGGCTTCACCTCTGAACTTGGACCTGAGGATAAATCAGACGATGCTTCTGTAGAGATAACCTTTAAGTCTGCTGATCCCAGTTGAACATTGATTGCACCAGTGGCAATAGGCTCTTTGCCATTGCTGCTTGAGTTTCCATTTACAATGTTTTCAATTGATGTTGCTGCAAATTTAGCTTGTTCCTGCTTCAGTATCATGTCCTTGTGACACTTGGAACACATATTCATGGTGGCTGCACTACCAAAGAACCCGCAGTTGTTGATGCAAAGGATGGGACCTTCGGGAGCTTGGCAGCCTGTTTCTTTGGAAGACTCCATTTTGTGCAGCAGTTAACCTGCCACTTGCCACATCACAATTTCATTACGCAAATTTTCCATCATCATAACAAAAAGAACACGGAGGTTCCTCCTCAACTAATGAACATCGATATGATCAAACATGGTTGCTGTCATGAGAACACAAGGAAGTGGTAAAGACCGACAATAAGACATCACTCTAAGCTTGTGGTAAGCACAGACTTGCACTTCAGTCATTGTCATTATGTCTCATCACTTATCATAAATCATTTAACATGGAATTCAACTATCCAAGGTAGCCATTGAAAGGAGCAGGACCAATAAACTTGATTATCTACACAAATACAACAGTCTAAAGAATATTTTTCTTTTGCTTATTACTTATTGCATACAGCATGAACTCACTCAATCAAAAAAAAATTAGAACTGAATGCAGAGATAGATTTCAGAGATGCCAAGGCAACTATTGTTTGAATGAATAGTTATCCAAGATCAGGGCACTCCTTTATGTCGCTAAATTGTTTACTACGTCTCAGCATAGACTATAACCTGGCTCAACAAACGATCATCTCGAAGTGAATGGTATTTATGTAACATCACCAACCATCACCCTCGCAAACAAACCCAAAAAATCAAGTTTATTCAACTAGAGCCCCTGTTAAGAAACTGAAACTTTATTAAAGTAAAATTCAGTAAATGATACAACAACAACAACAACAACAACACAAAAATTAAACTTGTGGGTTTGAGGAGGGTAGTGTATATGCAGAAAAGACATAGTCACTTCTAACAACCACCAAAGCAAAAAGCTAGATGCACATATTGATGTCTCCATATTCATTCTCCATCATTTAATTAAGATGATGAACTATAAAAAAACAACTTCGTTTAGGTAAGCTTAGCAAAAAGGCAGAGGATTGCAGTGGGTTGATGATCAGGTTGGAAATAGTGTTACTATAGTTAAACTACCACAAATCCTGTAACGATTACCAACAATTCATATAGCTGACGCCAACTAGTTTCGGAATTGGGATTGAGGCATTGTTGATTGATTCATGAACCAAAAGAGCCAAAATAAGAACATATCAAACCACAACTCAGCACAGAACATATACAGTTTGCTCAGATGATTCAGATACCACCAAGACTTCACCATCAACAAAGATACAACAAGTTCTCATCTAAGAAACACAAAATCAGCAATTTCCCACTTGGGTTATAAAGCAATATCCCTAAAAATCAAAACTTTATACAAATAACACCCATACCATACAAAATTAAGCACCAAAATAATCCAAATCTAACAAAGCACCCCAAAAAAACCTTTTTTAACACAAACACATATATACATGCTCAATTTTCCCTTCTTTTGGAAAATTCTAACAAACCCTACGAAAAAAAATCAAAAAAATCATCAAAATAACTCAATCCCACCAATCAAATCAAAAACTTTCCCCGATCTTCAGTCACAAATTCCAAACCCATAAAAAAGGTCCTAGAATCCCCAGATTAACAAAAAAAATTTAAAAAAAATCGCAAAAAACATAAAATTAACATCAAATATTACGACGTAAACAAAAAAAAAGCCAAAAACTTCTGATACCTGAATCGAAGAATCGAGAGGCGAAGAAAAGAGGGCGAAATTGAGAAATTTAGACAGAGACCTGAAAAGAGAGAAGAAAGAGAAAGGAGAAGGATTGAATTGTAAAAAATGAAGAAAATTATTTTTCGTTTCGTTTATTTATATTTAAATTTAGGCATAATTCATAAATACGCTTTTAACTTGGATTCAGCTATATTTATGTCTACCAATTTCGAGTGTGTATAAGTAGATATTCAATTTTTTATAAAATTAAATAAGTATACACACATGTTCTACGTGACATAATTCATAAGATGTTACGTAGAACACAAAATTATCATGTAAGACGTCATATAGGACGAATATGTTTGTTTGCTAAATTTGATATAAATTTTAAGTGTCTAATTGTATACATTCAAAGTTAAAAGTAATAATTGTCTGTTGGCCAAATTAAGAATAATATTTATGTATTATGCTTTAAATTTAATTATTAACTTTCTTTTTTAAGAATGTTTTTTATTTAATTATAGTTTAGGAATGGTAATTACTTTCAATTCAAACAAACGCTTTTGGGAGTTTGCACGCCTTCTTTTCTTCACCTACCCTTACCGAACTTATAATTTACCGTTTTGCCATTACTTTTTCCTTACGAAATCCTCTTAATCTCAGTATTAAGTACTTAATTTATTGCGATAATTTAATATATAATTCTTTTTTCCTTATTTTAAGGCTCATAATTTCTTTGACTGGTTTTCAAGTATGTCTAAATAAAATAATAAAATATGGTGGAATAAATTATATGTCGAGTAAATGTCATCAGCCATGTCATTGACAAGTTGGATTATGACCTCTTCAATATTTGAGGTTGGGAGGGATAGTAATTTTTTTTTTTTAGAGAGGAATAAGAAAAATGAGATTGAGATAATTCAAATATATCAAAAAAAAGATGCACATATGTTTTAGTTAGGAGCGAGAGGTTGATTGTCTTAGGGATGCAAAGAGGAAGTGATAGGTGGAAGAAGTAATATTGAAGAAAGGTGATTAGATAAGATATGCTACTATTTAGCTAATCGAGAACATGATCACACAGAGATAAAAAAAGATAGAAAGTTAATATATAGTTGATCGTGTTTAGTTTCTCATTTTAGTATTCATAGTAATACTCTTTTATAATAATGGTTTCACGATTTCTCTTTACATGTTACTCCCTTTATTTAGTATCATTATTTTGTTCTTTTGATTTCTTATTAGTATGTGTTATTTAATTCTTTTGCTTTAGGCTAGTGCTATTTATTTGTTATTGGTATTGTTATACTCTTCCTTATTGATATTTTCTTTTGAAATTTATGGGTCTTTCAAACACAATCTCTATTTTCACTTGGTAAAAGTAAGCGGGTTGCATACACACTATCCTTCTCAAGTCAATATTCCACTAACGAACATACACTAAATATGTTATTGTTATGTGTATTAGTTAAACTTATTAAATAAAAGACATCAAATATATCCCGAATAATATTTCACACTCAAACTAATCGAGTGATTCTAAGTACGATACCTTACGTGGCCAAGATCTTAACCGTCCATATATCTCTAGTGTCGCCTGGCGGGAACTCGAACACCTTGAGGATCAACATGGCGGGAATCCTTCCCCTTTATAAAGGCCTGTTTTGCAAGTAAATTAGCTAAAATCCATTCAAAATTTTCTTCTTATTCGAATTGTCGATCGTTTTTGCGTGCTCAAGTAGTGTAAGTATTTTCAGATTTGCCGTATGGGGAAGGGAAAGAAGAAGGCTAGGGTTCCGGTGGAGAATTTTGAGGAAGACGCCGACTCCGATGACGTAGAAATGAATGAAAATGATGAGAGTGTGAACGGATCTTCTTCTCGCGAGAAGAGCCTTTATGAGGTACTCATAAATTTTATTTCTAAGCTAGCTTTTGTAAACAGATCTAGCATTTTAAGTGAAGTAATTGAAAGCTTCACCGCTCAGCAAATTATATATCTCTGTTTCTATATGCTTGTAGCAGATGGTGAAATTTGGGTTAATGTTTAAATTTGTATATTTGTTATGATTTTGGACCTTTTGGTTTGTATATATGTATTTCAATTTTATATTCTAGGATTTTGTTAATATGTTATTGACAAATTTGTATATTAGGGTAAGAAATGAATTTGATAAGTGGTTCAAGGACCCAAACAGTTAGTGTTGTTAATGCCAAATTGCTAAAATGAAACAATCAAGTGTGATAATTAATCTAAAACAATGGACAAAGTGAGCAAGTAAAACTGAGTAGAAAATTCTTATTCAAGTAGACTCTGGGAGACGGTGACTTTGTGAAGTTAAGAAGCTTAGGGCAAGGGAGCAACAATAGAGTAGAATAGTAATGGTTTTCCTGATCAAAATCCTCTGCCCTACAAGTGAGGGGATGTTATCATAGCCTAACTCTAAGGACGGCTGTCTGCATTGCATGTCTCACCCGATGATTGCTATCCGCACCACTCAATTGTAACGTATGTGATTGAGAGTCTCAGAAGTAAATCCTTAATTCTTTGTGAACATTTGTACTTATTTTGACCGTCTGACATCTTAAATATAGTCACGCATCTTTTGAGCTAGATAGGTTCCCATTGCAACTTCGGTCCTTTAACCAACCTTACCGGTCGCGCTTAGGCGCTGAGATCGGTGTCACCTTGCTGAATCACATTCGATCTGTCCGGATTTTACCCCATACAGGGTTTCCAAGTGACTATAGTGTTTTTGGTTAATACTATGCTATTGCTTTATAGTATGCAAAAAGAAATACATATGTTACAGATTTGATTGGAGAGTTCTAAGATAAATTTTTTCTATATATGTATGTAAATACTAGTGTGTGTTGCTGTAGAAATAGTGCTTAATTGTCTGAGGCATGTGATATGCTTATAATGAAGCCATAGTTATAAATCTTCATGATCGAGCCTATGGACTAATGTTTGGTTTAGAAGATGTTAAACTAAGCGTGCTCTTTTTTTTTTGGTGTTAAGTTACTGCTCTTTTTGATTTCTCTGTTCAAGGAGGTGATGCAATACTAACGAGGCATCTACTTGTAGATTCTTGGGGTTGAGACAACAGCATCCCAGCAGGAAATAAAGAAGGCATATTACAAGTTAGCTCTGCGACTTCATCCTGATAAGAATCCTGATGATGAGGTAAATGGCTGCACAATTGAGTATGGTTTGCCCCAGTAATCTGTATACATTAGCTAATTTAACGATGAATATCTTAAATTTACTCAATAGGAAGCAAAAGAGAAATTTCAGCAGTTGCAAAAGGTGATATCAATTCTTGGTGATGAGGAGAAACGGGCACTTTATGATCAGACTGGCTGTGTTGATGATGATGTGAGTCGTATTGCTGTGATTCTTTCCCCCTCCTGTGATCCTTGCAAACTCTGATAACATTTTGGAAACTCTAGCATCTTCAGTATGTTGCAACTTTTTACTTAGTTTTTTTTGCCTATGATGGTGTGATGTAGTAAAAAGACTGTCTCATTGTTATGACAGTGAGCCAAAATCTTGTTATTATCATGTAATAGGTTCTGAAGAAGACTGTTGATCTGGGTTTGGGGCTGATCAGCTCTCTGCTAGGAGTAAAGCTCAAATCTGACCTTCATACAGTTCTCTAGAAACTAATATTTGAGCCAATTCTTTGTGTTAAGGTGAAAAGACGGGGTAAGTGAGGGTTAATAAAAGGAGGAGGTAGTGCTGTGCTATTTGACATTATTTTTCTAGGTTGTGAAAGAAAGGGGAAGTGTAGAGGCATCCGGCCCCTCTATGTTAGGGAATGGGAAGGAGTAAGGAGATGTGTTTGACTTCCTTTATAGGTATACCGATCAAAGGGTAAGGATGACCATCTTCCCTTGGGGAAGTAAACAATTTCCTCTCCCCTTCCCTGAACCAAACATAATGTGTAGCTGTGTGTGTGTTATGGATGTATTTTTTTCTCTTTTCTTATATAGGGTCAATCCCACACATTGTGCACAACAAAGTTAATGTTACAGTAGACATGCATGTATGGTGTCTTTTATGCTGATCCAGCTTATATTTCTGGTTTTTGTAGACAAGTCTAACTGATACCTGGATCTTCTTAATATCACTCTTATATATGGAGATTCTCAAAACTGTAGCGATAGCAGACAATCTTTTCAATCTGTATTTGATAAATAGAAAATAGAATGGTCTTTTTGGCTGATGTGCTAATTGGGTGCACCTCAATGACACCTATCTAGAAAAAAAAGGTTCTCACTATCATCTGCCTATTAACAGGACCTGGCAGGAGATGTTGATAACTTGAAGGAGTTTTTCCGAGCTATGCATCCAAAGGTAACAGAAATAATTACTCCACTTTATTATTTGAATAGTAGACACTCTAACATTGGAGGAACCTACACGTCTTTTTTCAGATTACTGAGGCTGATATTGACAAGTTTGAAGCAAACTATAGAGGATCCAAGTCGGAGAGGACAGACTTGATTGATCTATACAAGAAGTATAAGGGTAAAATGAAGAGGTATGGGCAGGAAGCCACATGCTCCTACCTCTTTAATGCTTTGATTTCTAGGTTGTCACCTAATATACAATCTTCTGTAGGCTATTTTGCTCCATGATTTGCTCTGATATCAAACTAGATTCACATCGCTTCAAAGATATTCTGGATGAGGCTATAGCAGCAGGTAAAGTTTAGCTTCCATCATATTAAGTATCCGTAAACATCACAATTCATCCTCTATGATGCCCTTACAATTATGGAATAGATGTGTCGTTTGATCTAAACGTGTGACTCTCAACACTGTTTAGCCATCTGTTTTCTGCATTAACATTCCTATTACTTTTTTTCCTTTGGCAATAGTTATTGTGGTCATTCAAAGCCTTTCCTCAGAAAAGTTCTTTTCTTTCTTCACTGGGAAGTGATCAGCACTTATATTTTTACTTTGACAGGGGAGATAAAGTCAACCAAAGCATATGAGAAATGGGCAAAGGAAGTGTCTGAAACAAAACCGCCTACAAGCCCATTGAAACGTAGACAAAAGTGAGTCATCTTTTATCATATTATGCATCACTAACTGAAACACTGAAAGTGCTATATTATTCTAACTGGAGAACTTGAACTGTTGCAGATCAAAGAAAGAACCAGACGATTTGTTTGCTATTATTTCTCAGCGACAAAATGAACGGAGGGGCAAAATGAATTCTATGTTCTCATCTTTGGCTAGCAAATACGGTGGGGATCCATCCGTGACAGAGCCAAGTGAGGAAGAATTCGAAGCTGCTCGAAGAAGACTGGAGAGTAGGAAGCAATCTAAGCGAAAGTAACTTTTATATAATGCAACCTCTACACCAAGCTGCAAAATGTTATTTATTGCTGTGTTTTCTTGTACTTTGCCATTATGTATTAGGTTGTGCTTCTTTGCTGCAAGGATTATAAGTCTTAAGATAATTGCTAATCGTATATCTACTTTGCTTAAAACATCATACACTTTAAGTTTTGGACTACACTGTTAATTCAGTTGACAGATGAACTAATATATTGACTAAGACAAACATAAATAGACTAGTTAATTACATGAGTAAGGAACGCAAATTCTAGAAAAAGTATATCATGATTTAAAGTAACTTTTTGGGAGAATTGTTATTAGGTCACCTAATTCATTTTTTTGGTGTAATGGCTGGCAAGAATGGAAAGATATTAATGTGTTGTCCAAATACGTAAGGATCATTGAAACCATATAGTGAGAGGTCTATTCCCCGCACTAATAAGATCTCTTCACATTTGATAAATAAAACCTTGAATTCTAGTCCTAAAAATAGAAAAATCTTGATGAAATGTTCTCTGTCCTCTAACGATACGAATCTAAATTAGTTGAAAATTCTTATAAAAAACACTTTACCTTTTAATAAAGTCTTACCTAGTGAAAATCTAAATTATTTAGGTCCAAAAATGTTATTAAGAGTCATGATAAAATAAATATTATCTATTCACTCTTAACCATATATTTCGAATGATCAAAGAATGTGGTATAATGAACGAACAATTTTTCGCTTGATTAAAGGTCTCGAGTTTAAATTTTGATATAAAAAACACGTGTTTTTCCTTCTTTGATAAAGAGCATGTATTTCTCCCTAATAAGTTGTATGGGACTTAAATCCAAATTAATCGAGAGCCTAAAATGATTAGCAGAGATTCATCTGAATCAAGCAATTAATGTGAACCAATAATTGCGTAAAATAATAAGTTATGCTGAACTTTACAGCTTTCACATTCCCCAGCTGTTTAATATCTTTCGTTTGGTAAACTACACTTGTCAATATTCTGTCACCAGCTGTTTCCTCCCCCACCCCACCCCACCCCCCCAACTCCCCTTTATAAATTCACTAACTCTTCACTTCAATTCCCACACATCTGAACCCTAATTTCCTTCATTTCTACACTCATTCGCCGATCAATCTCCGGTCACTTTTTTCTACTAAATCTGTTTTTCAAATGGCTCGATCTAGCATTATCAACGTATTCTTCATTGTATTCATCGTTGCTCTTTTCTCAGCTATGACTGAAACTTCGGCTCAGGAATTAGGATTAGCTCCGGCCCCGGCACCTGACGCCGGTGCGGCTTTCTCCTTGCCGTCTTCCGGTGTGTTAGTTGGAACTTCTCTCATTCTATGTGTTGCTGCTATCTTCAGGCATTAGAATTTTGATTTTGTGGTGATTGTATGTGTTTTTCAGTTGTGAGAGTAGTGTTTATTGATTTTCTTATGGATTTAGGTGTTTTCCGTATGTATTGAGATTGATCTTTTGGCAGTATATATTTCTGATTATAAAATTTTGTTTTTGAGTATAAAAAATGGTTCTTTACTTCCATTTGTTCTTTCATTCTCTATTGCAAGTGATTATTCTGTTATCTAAGAAGGTGATTATACCTGAAAAGTACATTTATGTTGATATAATCTGGAAATTAACAACCCGGAAAAGCAAAAACTAAAGAAAAACAAGGCTTTGAGCTGTTTTTTGGGTAATTTGAGCAAAACTCAGCTCCAGGGTGAAACATGAAGGATAAAACAAAGCTAATTTTCATGTAATTGGTACACGCAGAACAGAGTAGAGATGAAGTATGTAAAGAAGGTATCTAGATTAGTCGAGCTTCAAAGTAGGTACTAAACGCCAAGTGGGAAACCCAAAGGAAGTTTCATTGAACTTATAATTTGTCTTGCAGTTTAAAGGAAATACATTTTTAGATCAACTTATGTTCTTGAGGAATAAGAAGATTAGAAACTTTAAACAATGTATATAATATAGTAACATTAGAGACAAGTTCACAAACTATGTGACATATTAAACAATGTAAGTTGCATTTTTTTTGTTGATATCCCTTTCTGAGGCACAAAATGTAATGCTTATAGAGATAATGACTTGTAAGCATTGAGAACTCAGCCTTATATCCTATTTCTTGCCATATTCATCTGAGCTTAATCTTCTCACACTACCTGCATGTATATAATATAGTAACATTAGAGACAAGTTCACAAACTATGTGACATATTAAACAATGTAAGTTACATTTTTTTTGTTGATATCCCTTTCTGAGGCACAAAATGTAATGCTTATAGAGATAATGACTTGTAAGCATTGAGAACTCTGCCTTATATCCTATTTATTGCCATATTCATCTGAGCTTAATCTTCTCACACTACCTGCCCCTGCACGAATACACGACCATGTGTACAAAATCTACCAAATGGAAGGTTTTCTTGTTTCCATGGCTGGCGTATGGTCACATCTCTCCATTTCTCGAGCTAGCCAAAAAGCTCGTGGATAGAGGTTTCTTGGTTGACCTATGTTCTTCATCTATTAACCTAAGTTTCATTAGAACAAGAATACCAGAAACATATTGTTCTTCAATTCATCTTGTGGAACTCCAATTACCAGACTTGCAAGAGCTTCCTCCTCACTATCATACAGCCAATGGCCTCCCACTCCATCTCCATTCCACCCTTCAAAAAGCCCTCAAAATGGCTAAACCAAATCTGCTCAACATCTTAGAAGCACGAAAACCTGACTTGTTAATCCATGATGTCAAGCAATTATGGGCTGCTGGGGTGGCTTCTACCCTTGACATCCCGGCGGTTAGATTCTTCACTTCTTGTGCAGCCATGTGCTCCTATTTCAGTCACTTGTTTGTGAAACCAAATGTTGAATTCCCCTTTCAAGCTCTTCGATTAAATCCCTATGAGCTAACAAAAGCTCATAAAGTGGTTAAAGAACATCGTGAAGACGATGATCCTGAAGTGAGAGCTCCTGAAGAATTTACAGGCGTGATGCTAATAGGCACGTCGAGAGAGATGGAAGGTAAATACATCGACTATATGTCCGAAATAATCAAATTTAAGGTCTTGCCAATTGGTACACTAGTTCAAGATCCTATGACTAGTGTAGATGGAAACAGGGAGATCATGGAATGGTTAGGGAAAAAAGACAAGTTCTCAACTATATTAGTCTCTTTTGGGAGTGGCTACTTCTTGACAAACCAAGAATTGGAAGAAGTAGCTTTTGGGTTAGAGCTTAGCCAAGTGAATTTCATATGGGTAGTTAGGTTCCCAAAAGGGGAAAATCTAAGTCTTGAAGAGGCATTACCACAAGGTTTTTTTGAAAGAATTGGTCATAGAGGGATGGTTATGGGAGGATGGGCTCCACAAGCAAAAATACTAACTCATTCGAGTATCGGTGGATTCGTGAGTCATTGTGGATGGAATTCAATTTCAGAAAGTATAGATTATGGTATTCCAATTATTGCTATGCCTATGGATCTTGATCAACCTATGAATGCTAAATTGCTAGTGGAAATTGGAGTAGCTTTGGAGGTTTTGAGGGATGAAAATGGAGCACTTCATAGAGAAGACATAGCAAGAGTTATCAAAGATGTAATATGTGGAAAATCAGGGGAGAATTTGAGATGTAATGTGAGAAATTTGGGTAAGAAGTTGAGATTTAAAAATGTGGAAGATATTGATGCAGCTGTTATGGAGCTAACACAACTTTGTCATGAGAAGAATCATAGTTCTTGGATTCGAGTCACGGGTATGGAGCCGCGCTTGGTAGAGCCCTCAAAAATGGAACTTTCTAGCGCAAATTCAGATTAATCAAGCTTCAAAGCACATGTATTGAACATCGAGTGGAAAAAAGAAAAGAATTGTCAACTTTTCTAAGCTTTTTTATTCAACTAATGCAAGAAGCATAAGAAAAATGTCTTTGCATAATGTGCGTTATTCTATATTCTATTACCATCACAAAATATGACCTTCAGAATTACTGAGAAGTATATTGCATCAATATGATTTGCTCAAATATACTTTGAACAATCTTGATCATTTAAGTTTATCAAAAAGTAAAACTTTAATCTCCTATTTCTTCGCAATGTCAAAATGACATAGCATTGATATTAGGTGTTTAGTGTTTAAAATGAACAAAGTCTAATTCAAATCTCTTGGTGAAAGTTGATGTCAACTTTAGATGCCTACCAATTTTCAAATTAAAGTGTTTACTTGTTTGTAAAAGCCTAATTTCAATATTTATCCATGTATGATGCCTAAATAATTTTAATGGGGAAATTACATGGTTAAACAAACATATATTAGATAATTAGTCATCATAACTATAGTTTTAGTTAATTATCATTCGCGATCAACATTCATTGATACTTACATGTTTTGAGTTTTGAGTTTGTATAATTCACACGTTTATACAATTTGAAATTTGTATAATTTTTGTACAATATAATTGTTTAAAGTTCAAATGTTTGTGTTTGTATAAATTCGTTATTTCGAGTTTATATAAAAATAGCTCAATTATATAAACTTACCCACGAATTATACAAACAATGCAACTTAAATTGTAGCTACAATAAGTTTATTATAATGTCTATTTGCGTTTTCCTTTTAATTAATAAGTGAACCAAATGGCTCAATGAGATTATTCAGCATAGAACATGAATAGGCCAAACAACCACGTGCCAAACAGAACCTAATCGGCCACCGCCCACGATCTCCTCCAATCATTAGCACCACCGTCCGCCGCCGTCCAACACTGATCCAGGCCCACAACAACCCGATCTGAGTTGGACTCTTTCAACGACGTGTCCGCTTCTCCGCCCTCATTTTCCTCAATTCACTACCTATAAATCCCTTCACCTTTCAATAAACCTCCAACACAAACAAACTTTCTTCTCCTTCAGCTCGATTCTGTATTTTTCTTAGATCAATCGAAAATGGCGCAAGTTAACATCTTCAAGGCTTTTGTGCTCGCTGTGATTTTCGCCGCCATCGCTGTCTCTGCACAGGTGCCTGAAATGTCACCGGCTCCGTCACCGAATGCCGGAGCTGGCTTCTCTTTGCCAGTTTCTGGTGCTGTTATTGGAATGTCTTTCCTAATCTCTCTCGTCGCTTTGTTGAAGCATTGAATTTGAAGACGATTATGAAGTTCTGAAATTGTTTCATGCTTGAATTTAATTACTATTTATTGATTTGATTCTATAAAAAAATTCATTTTTTGACAATGTATACAATATTCAAATTGAAATAAACTTATTTGTCAATTATCTGTTATAAATTTGATTATATATCTATACTTCTAGTGATATATATACTCATTCCTTTTTTGTTTTTGAAAGATATTCAGCTAAAGCATAGCAAATCAAAGTAGTAATTGAAGAAAGGAACACAACAGAGTAGAGAACATGTCTATTATTAATTTATTATTGATAAGGAAAGCAGTAAAGAGTATTCAGAAAAAAGATAGTAACAAAAAAATAACGCTGTAACTGAAACACAATAGACGATAAATATCAAAAGTAAGAAACTACATGCATAAGGCTAATTTTACCCTTTAACTATTCAAAATGGACGTGTAACTTGTTCTGCATAATCTGTTTCTGATGAAGGACTATAGGCTATAAATTTGCAGGTGTAATCTCTGTTTCAGATGTGAAAAATGTGTGTTAGTGTTGTTTTTGTTGTCCATTTGTTGAATGCTGGTTAACAATACTTGGCTTGGCTGGTGTTGAGCGTTCTGACTGAGAAAATCTAATCAAGATTTGCATAAGTAGTGTAACAACAGCTAACAGTGCAGCTGAAATTGCAACACCCTTCCATGAAGACAACAGTGCTGTTGAGTGTAAGAATTTTATAGCACCAAAAAAGACAATACATGCCCAAGATACAATAACCTGTTATTTAGAAAAGATCAAATTAGTTTGCTGGAGAAATAAAAGAACTCAAATGCAGTCTAGTGATAAGAGCGCAACATATGATGTGTGGATTAGGTTAGGTGCAAGTCATGAAGCAGAGGCGGATCCAGGATTTAAGTTGTATGGGTTTTAATATTTTAAGTTCTCAGCATTGAACCCATTATATCTTTAAAGCTATGGTCCATATCTACTATTTTTGTGATCTGCGTTGAATGTACTGGGTGCAGATCAACCTGATGTCGGTATTCAAACATCTGCCTCTAGTGTGATGTGTGAGTTAGGTACACGTTTAAGTGGAGAAGATAGATAGGGGAACCTAATATCCACCAAGTTTCAAATTGTGCACCAACCCTTGAGATTTCTTGATTCTCACAAGAAAGAAAGAGATTAGGAAGAATTTATCTAGCTTAGCTAGCATGTTTCTTACCACGAAGGATTTCACTGGACGGCCAACATTCTGCAGCTGTTGTTCTCCGAAGGTGTCTTCAGCAATATGTTTGTCCAGCAGTTTGTCCTGGTGATAAGATAAAACGAGAAACAGTTATATAATGGCAATCTAAACACTAGATCCTCGAGATACAGTAGACGTTTCCTATGTAGATTCAACACGAAAGAAAGGTAACCTTGGCCAGAAAGATATCTCTACACCATTGAGCTGTGGCTTCATCATTTTCTGGTAGATCCTTCATCTCGTGGCGTTTGATGTGCACATGAACCTGCACCATAACAAATAAACATTGAAAATAAACATAACACCTTTCCTTTTGCTAACTTAATGAGCCTATACTTACTTCCTAATCGTTCCCCAACTCATAAACATGAAACTAACAGACAAGTTATCGATTAATTAACAATGGATGAACTGACTTATTCAGATTAACATAGTGCCAAGACAGTTATAACTTGTTATACTGAAGCAATAAATGACTTGCGGATAGTTTGATACAATACCAGAATTCCAAGTTATTGATAATTTTGCTTACCACAGAAGATTGACCCTTGAAGATTCGCAACATTGTTGGTGCTGGTGAGCTTTTAGGCATGGCAAATGTAACATCATAAATAGCTGGAACAAATGAGCGCATATGACTTACTGCTGCGACAAATCCCTGAAACCATCAAATAAATAAACATTTGGTTTCTTCAATACAATCTCATAATAGATAGCAAGGCAAAATGTGACAACACTAGCAACTTTAGGATCCATTACAAACTTAAAGAGAATCTCTTGATGATTTGTGTGATAACTTGAATTCGAAAGCATCAGCCTACTTATGATACAATATACAAAGAAGGTAACGTTTGGTGCTCACCTTGGTACGAGGAATTAACACATTCTTCGGAACAGGTAGCCCTGCTGAGGCTGCATATTCTTGAGCAGCCAAAAGCTTTGCCTGTGTAAAACGAGTGCCTTCAACGAAAAGTGCCAGCCAGAAAGGTTGAGGGTAATCTCGTAGCCGTTGAAGACCTGACTGCAAATTTGACCCCATAAGTATCAAATTACAATTAGTTGTAAATCAACAAAGACAAAACAGATCCCAGACACTCATCAACAAGCCAAACTATAGAGAAATGTAAATCTAGATATGCATTTTGTAGTATTGAAAGTATTTGGATACAAAGATGCTCAAGTAAATGTGCAATGAATGACTAAATCGATCGGGCTTAACTATACCTTTATCGTGTTTTCATCCTTGGCCCAGCTTCTTTCGAGGAATAGGTACTCGGAAAACCACATTGACCAACCAAGTACCTGCATAATGCATAAGATTAGTGACCTTAGTAGAGAGATTTGAGTAAAAGAAAAATAAACTGGGAGAGTCCCATATATATATATAATAGAAACTTCAAGGAAAAATAGTTACAGAGTGTTTAGGAGCGGCCACTAACAAAAACAAGAGCAAAATGCTAAGATCATGTTTCCTTCCTGTTAACAATATACCACCATATTCAAATAAATGCAGATACCCTCAAGGCAGGGTAAGTTCTATATACACCCTACCCTCCCGAGACTCCACTTTGTGAGATTACACTGGGTATTTTTGTAAGCGATTTTCCTCTTGAGGTTAGAATTTACACCAATGGGGACCATACATCTAAAATATTATTGCTTCCTTAGTCCATTTTATGCACAATGAGCTTATAAAACTCCAAAAAAACACAACAAAGCCATTACTCTTCCAGAATCCCAAATAAATTGCTGGATAATATGGGAATTGAGAGCTTCTCTACAGGAAAATTTACTGAGAAATGGATAGTAACTAGCTTTTGGTCAAAAGAAGAGTGAAAATCTTTATAACATTCACTCCAAACACTTAACTGATCAAAAGAAAGAAAAAGTTTCACTCAGAGAACTTACAGGAAGAAATTTTGAAGATTTCTTCATAACAGCTAATGCGCTACCAAGGCAACCGGATCGCTGCAATTGAAGGATTCAAGAATCAACAAACAGAAGCCAATTGATAATATTTATTAGTAATCGCCTGAAAGACCACATCTCCATCAAGCAATAAAAGTAAAGTTCCTATAAAATTACTAGCTAATTACAAGTTAAAAATCCATAACAAAAACGTATATAGGCGATGAACATAGACATGTATGGAGTTGGATATAAAAGTATCACAGGGATACATTTGCATAGGACAAATTGTTTGCTTAAGGGTTTCGACATAATAGATCACCAAGTAGTGATTATAGTTGTGCAAACCTGAGCTAAGACCCATCCAACAAGCCAATCAATGTCACTTCTGTGATTCGCTATCAGCAGGGCATGTTCTTTACCTGGAAAGATCAGCCAGCACAGCAATAATAAGCACTACATCAAGAAACTTGACAAAATATACATTACGAACACCAGTAGAGTAGAAAATGGAAAATGGAATCCAACTTACCCATTAA